AAGTACGTGCGGAGCTGAAGGGCAAGAACAGTGTGGCACCCCCGAAGCAGAAAACGGACAACGTGGCAACTTTGGAGAGGGCGAAAAAAGGAGAATATGGTGGCGCGAATTTAAAACGCCACGACCAGTCGGCTACAGGGGAAATCGCCGAGACCAATAGAGACTCCGCGAAACAAGACTCTGCACCGACTGGGAAACTCCAGCCGTACACCCCGACAAGTAAGAATATTACTTCTCGTGGTTTTCAAGCCTATTTTAAGGGAGAGTCAGAAATTGAACCGGTACGAATATGGGGACCCTACTCCGGAGCGCTAATCAGGGTCGAGCGTTCCAAGGTTATTCTCTCCCAGCAGCACTGTTTAAAGGCTCCCTGTTCCCCATAAGCAAAGCCCACACCGCTGCAAAGGCTTAGGGGAAGGTTCCAGGCCCTAGAGAAGCTGATCGGCCTTGGATAAATCCTTCAAACCTTGCTAAGTTGGAAACTGAGTTAGCAGCTTCGAGCGTAGGACCAAGGGATGATACATTTGATCTACCTTATGATCCTGTAAGCAACACCATCTACAGCTACTCGGAGCGGCAGCAGCCACTAGTACTCGAGGTGATCTGCAACGAGCGACGCCTCCAGGCACTGGTGGACAGTGGTGCGTCCCACTCGGTGTGCGACCGCGGGACGTTGGAGAAAATTGGAGAGTCATTGGAGGAGTCCCAATTTACAGCAACGATGGTGGACGGTACGAAGCTTCCCATCCACGACGAGTAAACACTTCAGCTGCAGATAGGGGCGTTGAGTTGGAAGCCGACGTTGCACGAATAACAAGGGATTAGATTTCATCTTGGGGCGTGATTTTCTGAAGCGGTTCAACCCCGAGATTGACTGGGTCAACCGGAAGGCGTGTATCTACAACAACGGGAAACGTGTGGAGCTGCGAAGCTGGACGGATACAGGGGATGTTCCTGAAACGACACTGGCGCGGTTCGAACGGACGGTGAACGAGAGTAACACGGGTTACTTAGCACTGGTTATGGCAGCAGCAGAGGAGGAAAAGCCGAACCTGGTGCTACCTGCAGCAGTAAAGGAAGTGTTGGAGCAGTACAAGGATATAATGCCATACGACCTACCTGCAGGAGTACCTCCAGCGCGCACCCACGAGCACGAGATTGTGGAGGAACCAAGTGCGAAACCCGTCTCACGTGCACCATACCGATTGAGTCCAACCGAACTGACAGACATAAAGAAACAGATCGAATACCTACTGAAAAGACAACTGATCCGCCCATCCATCTCTCTCTACGGCGCACCGGTTCTCTTCACTCCAAAGCCAGACGGTAGTTTACGGATGTGCATCGACTACCGCGCACTGAACAAACAGACAGTCAAGAACAAATACCCCATACCGCGCATAGACGATCTTCTAGACCAACTGCGTGGTGCGACGGTGTTTTCGAAGCTGGACCTACGGTCAGGTTACTGGCAGATCAAGATGGCGGACAACTCGATCCACAAGACGGCGTTCCGTACCAGATACGGCTCCTACGAGTACTTAGTGATGCCGTTCGGGCTCTGCAACGCACCAGCGACGTTCCAGGCGGAGATGAATCATATCTACGGTCCCTGCTGGATGAATGCGTGGTGGTGTACGTCGATGACATACTCATCTTCTCTCAAACCATGAAGGAGCACGTGGAGCATCTGCGGAAAGTCTTCGAGATCCTGCGGGAGAACAAGTTCTACGTGAAGCTGTCGAAAAGCGACTTCGCCCTGAAGAAGACCCAGTTTCTCGGGCACATGGTGAGTGCGGAGGGCGTACACATGGCCCACGAAAAATCCAAGCCGTCAAGAAGTGGAAAGTTCCGGAGAACGTGAAGGAGTTGCAGCAATTCCTAGGCTTCGCCAACTACTACAACAGGTTCGTGCCGCAGTATGCTAAGATAGCAGCGCCACTGACCGACCTACTGAAAAAGGATACGCCCTTCAAATGGGATACTCCTCATCAGCAAGCCATGGAGCAGCTACAGACAACACTGACTACAGCGCCAGTACTCATCCTACCGGACCCAGACAAAGACTACGTGGTGGAAGCAGACGCTAGTGACCAAGCAGTCGGAGCAGTACTGATGCAGGATCACGGACGCGGTTTGCAGCCCATCGCCTACCTCAGTAAGAAGCTGCACGGAGCAGAAATAAATAACCCCATCCATGACAAGGAAGCCTTAGCGATACTGACAGCCTTCAAGGCATGGAGGTGTTACCTAGAGGGAGCCAAGACCACTACAGTCTCAAATACCTGAAGTCGCAGCCGACGCTCTCACGACGACAGGTGCGGTGGGTGGACTTCTTGGAGACCCACTTCCACTACGACATCGTCTACAAGCCCGGGCTACACAACAAAGCAGACGCGTTGAGCCGCCCCGGTCACGTAGCAGGCATCCAGCTCAACGGGATGAACCCTCTGCTCAAGGGTCTGTTCCAACATGGGTACTCCGTGGACGCAGAGATCGCTACAGCAGAGAAACAGAAGCTGTTACAGTGGGAGAAGGACCTAGCTGTAAGAAAAGGATTGGGAAAAATTTGGGTACCAAACTATGCCCCGCTCTGACAAATCTTACTGGAGGAGTTCCACGATGTGGCATACGCGGGACATTTCGGGAGTAACAAGACGTTAGCGGGAATAGCGAAGTATTACTACTGGCCCCAGATGGCAGCAGACGTGCAGCAGTTCGTCACTTCATGCGACACGTGCCAGCGGATGAAGAGTAGCAAGCAGAAAAATGCAGGACTACTTCAGCCTCTACCCGTACCGGAGCAGCCATGGCAAGTCGTTAGCCTAGACTTCATCACTGGGCTTCCTTCGACCTCACGAGGGCATGACGCTATACTCGTGGTGATCGATAAGTTCTCTAAAATGGGACACTTCATCCCGACCAACGCCACGGCTACTGCTGAAGCAACTGCTCGCCTCTTCTTCGACCGCATCATCACCATCCAT